TCGTCTTACGAAGAAAAATGTAGGGTGAGATCTGTTCAGTTCTTGAAAGAAAATTATGAACCATTTGAAGAACCATTAACCACATATCGATTCGATTCTAGAAGTTTTTTAGAAGAATTGATATAAGAATCGATAGTATTCATCAGTGCAATTCTGATACATTGTCAGTTAACCATTAAGTAAAAAATATTTTAACTATTATTGTGTTTTATCATTAAACCGCTAACACATTAAAATATCATTCAAATTAATAAATATTTAACCGTAAATAAGTATACAAAATTTAACAAGCTAAAATTAAAGGAAAATAATTATTAAGAAGAAAAACTCGATTGCACCTATATATGCTTTTACCACATGCAACAATGAGCTTAACGCTTGTGTAACTTGTAACAATTAATATTCTTACTCATTTAGTTATGTAATATAACAATTGATAATAAAGAAATTGATTTTGTTGAACATTCTCAAAACTTTGAGTTTTCTTTTTAATAAATAAAAATTTGGATTCTTATGCTTCATTTATTCTTGTAGAACTCTGCGTTGCTAGATGATATGTATTTGTTTCATTTATTTATTTAATTGATTCTTATCATATTATACAGAGGAAATTATCCACGATAGAACTAAAACATAACATTTTTCTCAAAGTACGATCATATATTTGATTTTCCTTAAATAGGACTAAATATTACATTTCTACCACTAATTTAATTAATTAATATAATTAATTTCCACTAGTTCCCTTGCATAATCAAAGTCATTTTCTTGGTGACGGATCAATCTGATGATGACGGGCATTGCTTGTCTAATTCATTAATTTCAAGTCCTATTTAAACAACTACGAGGAGAGCATATAATGTATGCAATTTACTAATTACAATTAATACAATATTGTCGACGACGGTGAACTCCGGTGACGAAGCAGACAGATCAGTAGTGGAGATCTAATTGAAAATTTCGACGAATCAGCCGTGGCGGTTCGAATTTAAAAGTCTATGGACATTGTGAAAGTCTATAAAATTATCCATGGATTTAAAAGTCAATAGAATTCATTCATAAAAAAATCTATGGATTTGAATGTCCATTGACTTTCTTAAGAGTCCATTGATTAAAAAAAGTCCACCACAATCCATATTCAATACATCTCCTATGTATATCTCATCATCACACATTTGCGTAATAATCTATGGATTTAAATGTCCATTGACTTTCTTAAGAGTCCATTGATTTAAAAAAGTTCACCACAATCCATATTCAATACATCTCATCTGTATATCTCATCATCACACATTTGTTCATATGGTTTATTGTAGACCTTTGAGTTATTTCATATTTTCCGCTTGAATCATGCGGATTGAATTACTTCATAGAGATATGTTTCGTTCTTTAAAAAGTGAATTACCTAAATAGGACAAAAAGTGACAAAAGAACACAAATAAAACTACAACTTTTAAATCCCCCAGTGGGACTATTTGTATGTGTTTGGACAAATATAACCTTGTAGCTTTTGAAATATTTTAATTAATAATAAAATCATAAAAAATAATAAATGTAAAAAATAATAAAAAACGTAAAAAAGTAATAAAAAGTTATTAAAAAAGTAAAAACGTAAAAAAAAACGTCACCGCCTCTTCCACCCCAACCCTCCAGCTCCCATCATCGGTTGAAAATCTGCCAACATTTTTAGTAATGTCATAGTAATGACAAATTCAATGAGAATTTTGGCTCCATTTTCTTGGCATTTTCAGAAAAAATGACATTTTTTTCGATGATCGGAGGTGGTGGTGCATGGCGGCGCTGGGAAAGGCATCCACATTTTTAATGTGTTTTTACTATTTTTTATTAATTTTTAAAAAACAATTTTTTTTAATTTTATAAATATTTTATTATTTTTATTATTTTTTACTATTTTTTAATATTGTTTACGATTTTTTATTATTTGTTGAGATTTTATTATGAATTAAAACATTTATTATGAACTAGCTTTCAAGCCCGTGCGATGCACGGCCAGTATGTAATTTAGCTAATTTGAAATTTAATTTCTATCGGATCACATATAATGTGATTTAAAAGAAAAATAAACTTAGTCTAATATAGAGTCTGTTTGATAATACTAAAGTAAATAGAATTAACATATTTTGCGGAAATTGATTGAATTCTGGTTAAATAGGTGGAATCTTCTGAATCATGAAAAATATACAGTATGTGAAATATATTCCATTTGTGAAACAAAGAAAAAAATATATGAAAAAAAGTTAAATTGGTCTTCGACATAAGCATCTCAAGTAAACATAATTGTTATGAACCCAATAATAATTTTTTTTTTTTAAATAAAAGTAGGAATTCGTAAACCTATAAAGATTTTCTAATTTGGATTAGGAATCTATTTCAAAAGTAAAGACATATTTGAATTTTAGGTGTAAAATAAAGAAACAACCAAAAAGAATTACTTATTTGGCTAAGCTAAACATATTTACTTGTGAAAATATATATACTTTATATTGGTTATAATTTTTAATTTCATTTTTAATTATTTACTTATTTGAAGCTTACTAATTTATTAATAGGTGTCAAATTAATAAGTAAACTAATTTGCATATTTGTTTCTATTTAATTCGGTGTAGTAAACTAATATAAATTAGTTTCCATATCAATAAACGTTATTGGAATTACACTTTGATAACCAAAAATTATTTTACTTATTTGAAGCTTACCAAATTAATTAAGGTGGATTTATAAGGATTTTTGTTTATCATATCAATATGCAATCAAAAATAGAATCTAATAAAAACAAAAGGTATAAAAATAAGTAAATAATTGTTATATATAATGATATGGCAAGATTATGTGGCGCTTTGTATGCTCTTAAAAAGTTCCTCCTATATATATATATTGATTAATACCTTTAGGGGTATTTGTGGTAGAAATCAATGTTTAATCCTATTTGAAGGGGGTTAAAATTTACTCCGTGGTAGTTTTATTTGTGCATTTTAGGGAATCTTTAGTCCTACCTACTGAACAATTTTTATTGTTTAAAGTAGGGCCAATCAACGAATGTCACGAGTTTGGCCTCTTTTTCCTTCTTTTTACGTGTTCTTTGAATGCAGTACGTATATGGTGCATCCGGGTGTATGTACACCCGACCCAAATAAGAAAGACAGCCCAACAATCAATACAAGTCAAAAAAAAATCGGTGGCATTTTTGTAAATAAGTGAAAAATTACGGTTTCCACTAAATGAGCAATAGTGTACATTTAGTGAGCATCTGACATATTTTATTGAGTATTTAGAGGCTAACAATGAGTATCATGATTTGTGCTTCATATCTTCTAATTCAATTTTTTCCTTATTTTTGCTTTTATAAAAACTAATTGAATTATATCTATAATACACTTCTATGAATTTCCATATGCGAATTTAATGCAATATGATACTTTTAAAATATGCATCAATATAACATTTCAAATTAGCATAACATCGGTACCAAATGAGTATACGTAACTTATAAAATGTTTATGGATATGAAAATCGTAAGATTTGTTAGTTTAACATAACGATATGTTCATTGAGCACCAAACATCATTTATTGAGATGAAAATCAAGGTTTCTGTTAAATGAGCATACCATTACCACCAAATGAGCATACATAACTTACGAAATGAGTATCAAAAATTTTAAAAACGCATTTTTGTGTGCTCATTCATTTTGGACGTTATACTCATTTTAATTTAACATAAAACTCTTTTTAGCATCTGGCGTGGTCTACAGTGGCGGGCGAACTTCATCCGACGAATCCGCCGCCTTAGGTTCGGAATCAACAGCCTCCATCCGAAAGCTGTGCAACGGTGATTGCAGACATATTGCGAACTTCGTCCGATGGTGCACCAGACACTGAAGCTCGAATCTGCCGCCTTAGGTTCGGAATCAACAGCCTCCATCCGAAGGCTGTGCAGCGACGATTGCAGACAGATGGCGATGGTGTTGTTGCTTCGTGCGTGGAAGGCCATGGTGGGCGGAGAAGAGAGATGTGCGCAGATCCTCATCCATCGATTCCCAAGACATCAGCGAGCGCCGAGCAGCCTTCTCCATCCCTAATCTTCACCACCAGATTTGCAAAAATACCAGTATGTACGGTGAGGACCGTACATCCGGGTGTACGATATAATTTGCGCTTTGAATGTTAGTAATATTGTACGTGAATATATTCTTAAACGGCGATCAAAGCTTAAAAATCCATTAATACGAAAAAACAGTATACTTGTCTATTTTTTTTAAAAAAAATAGAATGGTTAAAATCATAGTTAGTTAAATACGGTACGGGAATTAAACGAGGTTTAATAAGTACGTATTTTATTCGGTAACATGAATGAAAAATGGTCAAATATTCGTTGAAAAAACGTTGACTTTTAAAAACGTATAAATAAATATACGTTTATAATACGATATATATTACAAAAATTCGGACAAAAATACGGGGTATTAATCTGAACATTTAAATTATATAAATTCACATAATAACATATATAGTAAAAAGAAATAAAAGTATACATATATTCAAGTAGAAAATCCTATTATATTAATACATAAAAGAATAATTCATATTTGCATTAGTCGATCATAAAAATAAAAATAGTAATAAGTCCAAGACATAGTTTTGTAAAATCATATCAAAAAATAAGACATAATAACAATTGAATGAGACTAAACAAAATAAGACAATTGTCAGTTTTCCTTTTTTGGTTGTCCCAAAAACTTTGATACTTTCCTATTAAAGCAATTAATTTGTGGTTCTGCACATTTTTCTCTACTCTGCACAAATATCAACCATACAGTTTTTACTATTCTTATTTCTCACCTACTTTACACTTGTAAAAATGCAACGGGACGGAGGTAGTACATATGGGAAGTATTTAAGGTCAAATGCCATGACCAACCGGGCTCCCGGTAAATGTGTCATTTTTATTTAGTCCGTATTTGTTGTCTAAAAAATGGCAGGAAAAGAAGAAAACAGAAAACAGAATGCTCTTGCGGCCTTCTCTTCCTCGCCCTCTATCTATCAGTTAGCCACTGATCCATCTTTCTCTCTTTCTTTGATCAATGCTCTGGACCTCATGCTGCTGGTATGTATAGTGTCTCCACTCTCTTTCTATAGATGCAGGCAGTGAAGCATTGTTCTTTATCTCATTTTTGTTTTTTATCTTTCTGGATCATCTATCTATCTCGATAATGCAGCAATGATTTCAACAAGGATCTAATTTGATGATAGGTTTCAGAGAAAAAGGATTATAAAATCTACATTTACAATTACGTTGATTTTCTATCTTACCTGATGTGTTCGTTAATGTAGCTTATCAATCTACAATCAAATGCCGCCTGAATGAATGCACATTATATTCCTTAATGAACGCTTGTCTGAATGCAGGCTATCTATCTATTTCATTAATTTAGGCGCTGAGTTTTTTTATTTGATCTCTTCTTTAAATTTCCATGTTTTGGTTGCTTTGGGAAATGATCAATTAGAAGTACAGTTCAATCCGAGAAGAATACAATGCCGAGAATGCTTTCTGGGGCAGAGACGTCATCATCGTCTCACAATGGGGGTCTGAAAAACATAAGCTCAACAAGTAGTATGGCGGAACTGGATGGATTTGATTTTTCGAGAAAATGGGATGGGCCGAGAAACTTGAACATTGATAGGCAAAGTTCATTGGATGAGAGGTCACTCACCTCTCCAATAATCCCTCATTCTAATTCTCTACATGATGACTTCAGCACGTGTCGCCACATCGACCACTTTGAAGGCACATTTTCGCCTAAACACTCGGGCTACTCAAGTCCAATGTCTCCATTTTGCGGGTTTGAGACGCATCCAATGCTTGCTGATGCTTGGGAGAATTTGAGGCGCTCCTTGGTGTATTTCCGTGGCCAGCCTGTTGGGACTATTGCTGCTTTAGACAATTCTGATGAAAAACTCAACTATGACCAGGTCAGCTTTTCGTTCTGCGCCATCCAATTGCTTGCTTGTATCATATCAACTAACAAATGCTGGTGTCAGCTGAGTTGGTATTAATCAAGCCTTTCTCACATTGTGTGTGTAATAACTGTTTAAACTGAGTGGAATCGCCTACATAATAGATAAAGCTATTAAGAGTATAACCATAACTAGTTTGGGAGGGTTCTGTACTTATGTCATCTTTCTTAAGACAGAGAGATGTCTCTTTTCCTGCATTCACAGTTGAACCTTCCAGAAAAGAAAATATCTCATATCTGCAAACAAGGTATGTCTATCTGGAAGGTTCAACTGTGAATAGTGGATATGTAAAATATGACACAAAAGAATGAAGTTTATTTTGCGAAAAGGGTATAGGTATATCTTGTTCGCACGTGTTTGTTCACAACTTTTCATGTTTAGGTGTTTGTTAGAGATTTTGTACCTAGTGCATTGGCCTTTCTGATGAACGGGGAAACAGAAGTAGTGAAGAACTTTATCTTGAAGACGATTAGACTGCAGTCTTCCGAGAAAACCATAGACAGGTTTCAACTGGGAGAGGGAGTAATGCCTGCTAGTTTTAAAGTACTCCATGATCCAGTCAGGAATTCAGAGACACTGGTTGCTGATTTTGGAGAGAGTGCGATTGGAAGAGTGGCTCCTGTTGATTCTGGATTCTGGTGGATCATTTTACTTCGAGCGTATACCAAATCTACTGGTGATGCTTCATTGGCCGAGTTGCCTGAATGCCAAAAAGGCATGCACCTAATCCTTAGCATTTGCCTCTCGGAGGGGTTTGACACATTCCCTACTCTTCTTTGTGCTGATGGTTGCTGTATGATTGATCGTAGGATGGTGAGTTCAATTATGCATACATGCATCAACATAAATTAGCTATTGGAATCTCATTAGGCATCCACTTATTCATTCAGAATCATTAAAAATTTCTCTCATTTCATGGAGCTTGGAGTTTTCATTTAGTTATTACTTATTTGGTTACATCTCGTTTGTCTCATTTTTCAACTTGTCTCATACTAAATATGGTCATATGTTGTGGCTCACGACCATCCTTAGTTTCATAAGTTCAATATAAAGCATATGGAGTACAGTTCTACTTGTTAATACTTGTGACAAACTCTATGAAAGAGACGTAGTTAATGTTTTGACTTTGGAATGCAAATGGCACTTATTTCTAAAATAGCGCGCAGACTCAAATTTAAATGAGAAAATATTTTGGAAAATCTAATTCTCACATTCTCTAATGTCATTTGATTATTAAATTGAAAATTCTGAAATCTAACTTTAAAAACATGATTCTCCATCATTTAGGGTGTCTATGGGTACCCCATTGAAATCCAGGCGCTCTTCTTCATGGCTTTGAGATGTGCATTGCTTTTACTGAAGCAAGATGCTGAGGGAAAAGCCTTTGTGGAGAGAATAGTCAAGCGGTTGCATGCTTTGAGCTATCATATGAGGAGTTACTTCTGGCTTGACCTGAAGCAACTCAACGATATATACCGATATAAAACCGAGGAATACTCTCACACTGCAGTGAACAAATTTAACATCATGCCAGATTCACTTCCGGAATGGATATTTGATTTCATGCCAATTAATGGTGGATACTTCATTGGGAACGTTGGACCTTCAAGAATGGACTTCCGTTGGTTTTGTTTGGGGAATTGCATTGCCATTCTCTCATCTCTAGCAACTCCAGAACAGTCCGCTAAAGTGATGGACCTTATTGAGTCGCGATGGCAAGAACTCGTGGGAGAAATGCCTCTCAAGGTTTGCTACCCTGCTCTGGAGGGGCATGAGTGGCGCATCATCACGGGGTGTGATCCTAAAAACACTAGATGGAGCTACCACAATGGCGGGTCATGGCCAAGTATCTACCACACACACATTCATCTTTTATTATTAATCATATAAAAATACAAACTCGCACATTAAGACTTGAGCTTACACCTTAAAAGTTCAATATGATAGGAGAAGTGCTCAAAGACTTACTATATGCAAGTTTGTATCTTTATGTTTAATCAGCATGGCATATATTAACAAATAGTACCTTCTATTTAGTGTAATAGTAAACTGACAGTTTCTATTTGAACATATTCATATTTTAGTCTCAGAGGACTATTAAGTCATTCTTACTTGCGTTCCCAAATTTCATTTTATCAGTTTTAGTGCTCAGCAAAAGATTTTTTGACAATTATTGTCCTACTGACCATGTATCCTGTGAATTTCTTCATAATATTCATTTTATTTTCACCCGACAAGTTACTGGGAATGATCAAAAGTGACAAGGAATCTTAATTGTGCACCAAAAGTAGAATAGATGAAATTTATGGATAGAAAATGAGAATGCATAATAGTCCTGGGATTAGAAATGATTCTCTCGTTTTCTTTCTAGCTGCTAAATGTGTTTAGTTTTATCATCGCAGTGCTGTTATGGCTACTCACAGCTGCATGTATCAAGACTGGGCGTCCCCAGATCGCAAGGCGTGCCATTGAACTAATTGAAACCAGGTTGTCCAAAGATGCATGGCCTGAATATTATGATGGAAAGCTTGGCAGGTTCATGGGGAAACAGGCGCGTAAATACCAAACTTGGTCTATAGCTGGCTACTTGGTCTCAAAGATGATGCTTGAAGACCCTTCCCATATCGGGATGATCGCCATTGAAGAAGACAAGCAGATGAAACCGGTTTTGAAGAGATCTGCCTCATTTTGATACATCACCTACTTGATTTCATGCATAGCTTTGCCACTTAACATACACATATATAAAGAGGGATAAGTGCAGGAAGGGTTGAATGAAAAGTGAGAGGATCAGCCGTTTTCCAGGCTTTTCCCTTAGCCAGAAGTTATGAATAAAGGGTATCATACTATCATATCATATTGGTAAACCATGTCTTTTGTTGTTTAAAGTATACACTGCAAATTCCTCCTGACTTCCGTTTCCACGTCTTTTCTGACTCCGCTAGTCTATAAGCTTGTGTAGAATCAGTTTTTTCTTCTTTCAACTTCTTGAGTAGTCTAATTTGGATGAACTTGTTCGATGGTTTTGGCAACACTTCTGTAATTTGATAACCTATTATTTTGTTGGCTGTTTTTATATGAAATTGTGTAGAAATGGTTTTGGACTTATGGTTTCAAACTGGCCAGTAATGAAAGGCTACAAAGATGACCATCATGAGGAGAATTGATTCAATTGAATGATGTTTAAAATAACGTTAAAAATTCTTATATGAAGTCAACTACTTGAACTTGCTATTATACATTTTCTTAATTCTTAGCATATAAAGATTCATGTATTGGTTGTATATCTTTTTCTAGGATTGGTTTTTAGTCGTAGAATGAATCACCCCATTTACCAGACATAATCTTAAAGAGATCAAATAGACTAGACTTAGACAATAATAATGTACTTACTCCGTATAATACTCCCTCCGTCCCGAAAAGGTTGGTCAAATTTCTCTTTTTGGATGTCCAAAAAAGATTTGTCGTTTCCATTTAAAGTAAGGAATATGTGGTTAAAATTAATTCTCTTTCCTCTGCACAAATTTCAACCATACAGTTTTTACTTTATTAATCCACGTGAAAGTCAACTTTGGTCAACCTTTTTGGGACGGAGGGAGTATTAGATTTTACAAGACTAACCTAAACATATCAAAATAAACAAGAAAAATCAGTTCAGTTGAAATTAAGCTTACTATGTATGACTATGAAAGGAGTATTACTTTTGTTTCTTTAATTTGCATCTGTTTTCTTTAAAAAGAAAAATTGCACCTGTTTTGAAATGCTTTCCCTCTCATCTCAATTTTCTGATTTTCTCCATGAGGTCAACAAACTTTTTGAAAACGAATGCGTAACATTTCTTTTATCATGTCTTTCTCTCTACACAATTACACATTATTCGTATTAAAAAATAGGATCATAAGCTAAACATATCCTTCAAATTCATAAATATATCACATACTTTCACATTTATTAAAAAAGACTCAAACTTCAACTTTTCTCACAATTCTACTTTCAATGGATGAATTAGTAAATCTAAGAAGAAAATCATATTTATATTTGATATTTTTTCACTACTTTGTAGTTTTAAGTTGACAAACTTGTATTGCTTAAGAGCCCGTTTGGCAGCACGAAAATCGGCTGTTCTGGCTGATTCTGCTGAAATTTATGAAATTCTGGCTGAAATGGCTGCATTGGCTGATTCTACTGATACAAGAAAAAAATATTTTTAAAATATATTTTATTAATAAAATAAAGAAAAAATTATATGTAAAAATAGTTAAAATGGTCATCTACAGTAACTTCAGCCAATACAGCAAAAAAAGTAACTTCAACCTTACTTTTTCGGCTTATTACACAATTCAGCGCGCGAAAGCAAAATTTACGTGTTTGGTAAAAAAGTTGGCTGATAAGCCTGATAAGCCGAAAATGAGGGTTGCCAAACGGCCTCTAAATCTTATTGGTATTGATAAAAACATGTAATTTTGAAGAAACAAAAAAGAAAAGCATAATGGTTGAAAAACATTAAGTTCAAGTCTTTTTATAATAAAAGTGAAAGTATATGATAGATTTGTGAATTTGACGATAGTTTGGGAGTGTCTGGACCCGCACATTAATACAATTTGTTTCATTAAAAAATGTCGAGTACCAATTTGATAGGATGTGAAATAATTGTTGGTGTGTCTCGGAAAAAGGAAGAAATATTAATTAATAAAAATTGATTAAAATAGCTAAAGAAAAACGAAATAAGAGATATAACAGAAATAGCCAAAGCTTGTGCTACGCACAATGTCCTTAAAACGTATTTGTTGCCTCCCTGGGTGCTAGGAGCGTTGCAACGATCGTTTCCTAGGATACAATGACTACGAACAATTGTTTGAACACTCAACAAATTGTTCTAGCGAACGGAAACCAAGCAAGAACACTAAGGATTTTTTCAGAATACTAGATGTGTGTTTTAGCTCAAAACGTTTGTGACAACTGTGTTGTGAGATGTGTTGTTGCAAAACATCTGGCAGGTATATATAGGCACAGATTTGTGGTGTGTTAACTGAGCTTTAATGGACCTGAACGTTGGACATAAATGACGAGCACGTTAGGCAATAAATCTCGTAACGGCTGAGAACCCTTCAGGTGCGCGACCAGAACACCCTCAGAACTGGTGTAACGTAATTAAACCGTATTTTTGAATGGTAGATTTTCGAACGACATTCGTGTCCGCAGGTCGCTCATGCACGCAAATCATGGTTTTTCTTCTCCGTTATTTGGCACTGCAACGTCTTTCGTGCAATTAAAAAATAAATTGCACATCTAACTAAAAAATAATGTAATTTATTTTAGATGCAAAGTAATTGATTTTCTAAACTTTACCTGCAAAGATTTAACATCAAAACTCCTAAACTAGCCCTAATGGAAACCTCGATATACATTGTAATGTTCAAGGGAAACTTGATTCATGACCTAAAACGATAATCAAAATAAAAAATAATTTCAAATTTAAATATTATTTACAATGTAATATGAGAATTTATTCGCCTTGTGTATTTTGTAGTTTGTACAATGAAAAGTTAAACATGGCACAATGTGAGTGGTTGGAACAAGTAACAACGTCGCGATTTTTTGTTTAATTTAAGTGGGTGAAAATGCAGAAATGATTATGGTGCTCTAATTTAACTCTAGAATCAGTTTTTTTTAGAAGCTGGGGGTATCCGCTTCTGAAAACTGATTCTGATTCTGCTTCTGCTTTAAAAAAGAAGCAAAAGCAGAATCAGTTCCAAACACTCCCAAGACAAAAAAAATAATCCGTACAAAACTAAACCGACACATAATATACGAGCTCTGCCGTGGACGGCTGGGATCGCGACCCACAAATCAACAGTCGTGATTCAACGACCCACTGGGGTTGCAGCAGGACTAGACCCGGACCCGGACCCGCATGGAGCATTTTAACCACATTCAATGACTGATTTGACTATTTTAGCTCAAAATTAGCTTAGCAAATTCCAACAATACAAGTGCGTAAACTACTGTATCTTTCTTCTTCTTCGTCTTCTTTATTGTTCCGGTAATAAATAAGCGCTGAAAAATCGTTGGGAAGAAGAGGTAGAGTACAGCAGTATGCAGATTCCCAGGAGACCGATCCAAGCCGTCACGACGTGGGTGAAGCGGCAACCGCCCAAGGTGAAGGCCTTCCTTGCCGTCATCACCGGCATGGCGGCGCTCGTCATGCTCCGAGCCATTGTCCACGATCACGACAACCTCTTCGTTGCCGCCGAGGCTGTTCACTCCATCGGAATCTGCGTCCTCATCTACAAGCTCATGAAGGAAAAAACTTGCACTGGTAATTGTTTTACCGTTTTGGATTGTTAACTAGCCGCCCTCTGAAATTAGTCCTGCAGTATAGTTTGTTGGTCAAACATGTTTCAATTTGACGGATGAATCAACGGATTGACTCTTATTATTCATTGGATGGATGGATTTAGGGGTTTACCTGTAAAGACTTCGTTTTTGTTATCCTTCTAGTGACCGCTACTTATTTGTTTGTGGTGTTTAGATTTTGAGCACGATAGTTTTTAATTTAACTTTTTATGAAGCCTGGGTTTTGTTTACCTATATGCACTTGGGAGCTAAGGGTCCCTTGGCTGTAGATCAGTTGTGAAGTCTGATTTAACCTAGGGTTCGTTGACTTTACATAATCTTCAATTCCAGGTTCTAGAATTCGTATATGGGAACAATTTTGAGGAATTCTTTTTTTAAGAATTCGGTGCATTTTGTTTCCGAGCCTTTCAACTTAGCTACTGAACAAGCTGAAGGCATTTGTAGAATTCTCCTTTTTAGGATGTTTTTAATTGGACTGAAATATTCTGATCTCATCTTTTTAATTCTAGTCTAAACTGGTCTACTCCGGTAAACGTCAATTGAAGTTTGGTCTGTTTAAGTTTGGTCTTTTTTGATTTGATTTGGTACTGAAAACAATCCAAATAAAAACATCCTTAGCACATATGCACCTTAAGGATCAAGGAAGAAATTACTAAACATAAAAATACAATGCCCTTTTAAGTGTCATAATGTCATTATTTCCTTTTTAAGGAAGAAAAGGAAGAGGTGTTAATTTGATGATGGAGCAAAGCTTTGAGTGATTGTAAACAATTCCAGTTTATGAGTTTAACTTGTATGGAATAGTTGAGTGCGGATTTTTCTATGTGTATCATACTATCCTTTCCAGTGGTGGTCCAACATGCTGCTAATTGGGAACCTGAAATCTTTGTAGGGCTTTCTCTCAAATCCCAGGAGCTTACAGCTATGTTTTTAGCTGTTAGACTATATTGCAGCTTTGTCATGGAGTATGATATTCACACTTTGCTTGACATGGCTACACTGGCAACAACTCTGTGGGTTATTTATATGATTCGTTTTAAACTAAGATCAAGTTACATGGAGGAAAAAGACAATTTTGCAATATATTATGTGGTAAGTGTCTCAGTATACTTCCTCCGTCTCACAATTATGTCCATACTTTCCTTATATGGATGTCCCAAAATGAATTCCTGTTTCCATGAAAAGAAAATTTTTAATTGGAAAATGTCATTACTACGTTTTGCAATATTTTACGTAAAGTAAGGGTATACTTGAAAAGCCAAACATGCCTTGCATATATACAATTAGTACGTGTATAGATCAAACCTGAAACTTGATTGTGGGACGGGTATACTTGAGGGAATATGATATCATTGCCAGTGTGCCATAGGCTCATGTCTTCACCAACTTTGCTTCACTGCAGGTTGTCCCTTGTGCTGTTTTAGCTTTTCTAATTCACCCAGGTACATCACATCACTTTGTGAACAAGATCTTTTGGGCTTTCTGTGTGTACTTGGAAGCAGTTTCCGTGCTACCCCAGCTCCGTGTCATGCAAAATACTAAGGTATTATATTTAATCATTTATTTTTATCCCACATCATCCTTTGCCTTTTTTGTTGGACGGAAAAAATGTTAAGAGTTCTAGCTTGAGCATGAAGTGTTAATTTGCATATATTTTCCCTCAGATTGTTGAACCATTTACAGCTCATTATGTATTCGCACTGGGTGTTGCGCGGTTCTTAAGCTGTGCTCACTGGGTTCTACAGGTTTGACCGCAAACCTTGAATTTCTACTGCTTATATTGGGAAACAAAGTGTCTAGTTTGAA